TGTTTTCATGTAGAAATTTGATAGTTTGCTGGTGTTCTAGGTCTTCTTTGAGGACTAAACATGTTGCACTTTGTTCTGCAGTTATCCCTGTCTGCTTCAAAGCTACTTGATCGTGACATCGTTTCAAAGGTACACTTTTCCGTATTAAGTGGCAGTAGTCAGAGCCTGTATCACATTTAATTTGATATAAGCTGAATGAACATCTTGATAGTGGGCAGTAGGTGTTGGAGTTGCTAGCTGTGTTTCTGCATAGGTGCATATGCAATTGTTATTTGAAGCTGTTGAGATATCTTGATGCTTCAAATGTCACCTTGTTATTAATGGAAACAACTATTATAGCAATCACTGAAACAGTGCAAATTGCACCTGTAGATTCCTAAAGTTAATTGCATTAAAGAGTTTGCCATGGAGAAAGAAATAACGTTTTTCATTGCTCAATACTCTTAACTGATATATTAATTCGTAGATAGGAGACCAAATTATACCTACCACCTTCTTAAAATCTCTCTACATAAATGATTTGGTTCAATGCAGAGTGATCCAATGGCTGTAATTTACATGAAGAAGCGGGATGGAACTCTTGAGGAAATTGGTCGTACAGAGGTTATCTTAAACAGTTTAAATCCTGTCTGGATTGGGAAAATACCTATTGCCTACCATTTTGAAACAGTTCAGCCTCTGGTGTAAGCACCTTCCTTCGACTTTAAACAAGCTCTTATAAATTATAATTCATTAACCAGAAGGACCTCAGACAACTTTAGTCTGACTCATTTATATATTGTTCTGTCACTGACAGGTTTCATGTATATGATGTTGATACAAGATATCACAATTTACCTGTGAAGGTATAGTTTTTTGCTTCATGTCTCTGGGCTTTTTTATGTTTTTAAGATACATGTTTTTCTTGACCAATTTGCCTTTAGGTTCTCATTAGACAATTTGCAATTGTTTGTTTCAGACACTCAAGCTACAGGATCAGGATTTTCTTGGAGAAGCTAATTGTGTCTTATCAGAGGTACTTTAGTTGGATCTTAATAGTTGAGTTTCTTGCACAACATGTTTTTTTTGTGCACCATACATGAGTGTTGCAACTTGTTTAGTGTTTGAGCATCTATTTAAGAGGTGTTATAATGTTTGCTTATGGTTATATCCTCTTTGGCAGATATTTACCAAACGTGATAAGACTTTGACTCTAAAGCTGAGCAACAAAATTAAGAAAACTGCAGGCGTACTAAACGTTCATGCAGAAGAGTGTTGCATCAAAAAGTGCTGCAGAGATTGTATTCCGTTGCACAAATCTGGATAACAAAGATTTGTTATCTAAAAGTGTATGTAAACTTTGTGTGACTGATGGTTGAATTTCTTGTTTTACTTGTGTTTTTTGTGGTCACTAACCCTCACTTCCTTGCTTACAGGATCCTTTTCTGTGTATATCTCGGAAAGTTGAGACTGGAAATGCTGTTCCAATCTGCAAGACAGAGGTCATTAACAACAACCTAAATCCTGTATGGAGACCTGTTTATCTGAACACACAACATTTTGTAAGCAAGGTAAGTTTATCTGCTTCTATTCTATGCTTGTGTTATTCACAGGAGCAAAATATGTGGGCATGAAAGGAGTTGATGTTGCTACATATAATAATATTTTGATGTCTTTTATTCATTAATTCTGTTGCAGGATAACCCTTTGATTATCGAGTGTTTTGATTTTAACAGCAATGGAAATCATACTCTTATTGGGTAATTATCCTTACTAATTTCTGCCTCTCCTTTCCTGCATAATTTCCATTGTTTGTGTGGTCTATTTGTGATGGATTACTAACAAAAGTATACACTTTGAGCAGCAAACTTCAAACATCAGTAGCAGCCTTAGAAAATCTGCAGAAAGAAAAGACTGGTATCAACTTTGTCAAGCCACACAACGGTCGTGAAAAGGTGCTTTGTAATGAGCAATAATTGGATTCCATGGACTCTAACCCCTTTTTTGTATCTTCTAATTATTTAAATTTATGGTTGATGATCACTGTAGGTTCTTAAGGGTCGGTTATTTGTAGATACATATCGTGAAAAGCAGCTGTACAGCTTTCTTGATTACATTTCTAGTGGTTTTGAGCTCAACTTCATGGTTGCTGTTGATTTTACTGGTACGTAAATTCCATTGATGCTTTATAGGTGCATAAGTTAAGTCATTGATTTTTTTAACACTAAAATCCTTGTGGTTGTGCTCTTCTTTGTATTTGTACAGCTTCAAATGGAAATCCTAGAAGCCCAGAGTCCTTGCACTACATTGATCCCTCTGGCTGATTGAACGCTTATCAGCAAGTAAGGCTTCATCGTTCTAGATTTGAGTTTAATTAATACCTAAAATCTCATGGAAACAATGTAGTCGTGATACACTGAACACAATTTCTTATTTTGACTTGAGCCTAGAACTAGTAACTATAGACCATATTCACCAGTGGATTTCTTGCAGGCAATAATGGAAGTTGGGGAGGTTTTACAGTTTTATGATTCAGACAGGCGTTACTCTGCATGGGGTTTTGGAGGAAAGACAATGGATGGCAGTGTCTCCCATTGCTTTAACTTGAATCCAAGCCCGTACAATAGGGAGGTAATATGATGCATCTTATTCCTCCTCACTCCCTGACCCTACCCTTCTTCTTTTGCTGTCATTTTCTTAGCAGCTTGTTCACATAGATTGAGATGTAGAGTCCTGCATTAAACAATTTAAATATCCATATGACCATCATCTTTCCATATGTTAATCTTACTATGGTCTAAGAGTTGATTATGTACTCACTATTCAGTAATTAGTATTCACCATTTTGAAGTATTAAAAGAGTAAAAAAAAAAAAAAAAAAAAAAAAAAAAAAAAAAAAAAAAAAAAAAAAAAAACTTCAAGACTGAAACTTCGGCACCACAATTTTATCTGTATTCCCAGCTCTTGTTCTTCTAGATTCATAGCAATGATAAAGCAATTTTTCCATATGATCATAGGTTACCAAGTTTTGTGTTTTTATTTTTTTTCTTTAATTAATCCTGATTTTGTGATAAATATATGTGAAATGGGCCTTAGCTTGAAGCAAAACTTGGTCTAGAAGCATTTTTCTTCGTCATGCTTCAACTAAGATGTGAATTTAAATGTATCTTGACATCTTATGCAGGTTGAAGGAGTTGAAGGAATTATGGCCGCTTATAATTCTGCTCTTCACACCGTTGCACTTTCTGGACCTACTTTATTTGGTAAAGTAGTTCACAGAGCTGCAGAAATCGCTGGCCAGTCCCTCGAACAGACCAAGAGCAAGTATTATGTACTGTTAATCATCACAGTAAGTACATCTTATGAGATTGCAGTTGCATTCTATTACGTTGTCTTTAAATTTTAATCACATTGCTATGTTGTTTTTCTTTCAGGATGGAGTTCTCTCAGATTCCCAAGAAAGTATAGATGCTTTGGTGAGGGCATCTGACTTACCGTTATCAGTCCTTATTGTTGGGGTGGGTGGTGCTGATTTTACACAGATGGAGGTAAGCTATTGTATTTAGCAAAAATATTATCTCATTGTTGCTTGCACTTGACGAGGTGTGTGGGCAGGGTGACACAGAATTGTTATACTGATGCCTTGAGACTTATCTAAAGTGTGTAAATGTGTATGAACATACGATATGAAGTGGGGATATAGTGTCTGATACCAAAGGCTTTGTTTTACTAAGTGTTTGGCCTTGAATCATTACATTGTAACTTAAATTCATATTTACATCTTGACAGATACTTGATGCTGATAAAGGGCACCGGTTGGAGAGCTCTACAGGTCGTATAGCAACTCGAGACATTGTTCAATTCGTGCCAATGCGTGATGTTCAAGGTTTGTTAAAATCTCATTCACATTGAACTGATTTTGTAATCTTTGTATTTTCACCATTTCACTTTATGTATATCATTAAATGAACTTTCTGGTTACAAGTTTACAATCCTTCTTTTTTCCTAAAACTTAAACAAGATGTTTCATTTTTGCAAATTGGATAGCATTTTAGTTTGGATTGTAAAATAACTTTCCAAGTTCACTAATTTAATTTAATATGGCGGTGTTGTTTTTTCTCGTGTGCAGCAGGGCAAAAACCCATGGTTGAAGCGCTCTTGGAAGAATTACCCGGGCAATTTCTATCTTACATGCGTAGTAGAGACATCAAGCCATTAATGTGAACATCAAAAAGGCATTCCCTCAAGTGCCCTTGTTATTAACCATGCTGTTTAGCTTCACAAAGATGATGTTTGCTGGATTAGTTGAATGAAGGGTAACAAGTACATTTATATGGGTATAGGCTTCGGTAGTTTTTGCAGAGTGGAAACTGTATATATATAAATATCTGCTTAGGTTATTAGTGGTTGTTCCTCGTTTTGAGCCTTCGAGGTATTCATTGGTTTGTTGATGAAGTTGATAGAGAATTCTACGTAGTCTCTGTTAAGTGTTCATTGGTTTGTTTATGGGAGGTGTTAGTTCCATATTTTCTTTATTCTTTGATACCAACTGTAAATTACGGAGTATTGTCTCTAATATAAGATGCTTGAATTTTTCCTACTATATTGATCAATTTTCTAACTTGGCCAGTTTGATTTGAGATTACGAGCAACTAATTGCAAATCTTGGTCAATATAACTATTGTTTGGTAAATCATCTATTTGTCATGCCTCAAAGTTTACTCGTATAATATTATCATTAACTCTTCGGTTAGAACTTCAGAAGTGTATGTTCCTCAAATTTGTACAAGTATAATTCTTCGTGAAAATATTTATATTGTAACTATTTTTTTTTTTTTTTTTATTTATTTGAAAGAAAAATTCATCTAGTAGACCATTTTAAATTTGTAATCTTCCATTTTTAGATGCTAGACCGCCTTAAAGAACCTTCAAGTGTTGAACAATTTAGAAGGCAATCTACCATCAAATTCCTCTAATCAAAGTTTTAGTTTACTTAAAATGACGCCAACAATCTTACAAGATGATGAAGCCGGAGGCTTGGGATATTAACAAGCTGGTGTTTCAACTAGCAGTACTGTATCTTACATGTGAAACAATAGTTGATTAAACTTACAACATCCAAAGTGGATAACATACATTGTTTTCATCATACTTGCTCTAACAAAATCCAGACATCAAAAACATCTGCAACAGCAGAACATTTCTGCTATACATTTTATTACAAAAGCAGGTAGATCTGAATTATTGTTTCAAATGATGTCTATAGCGATCTTTGTCCCTAGCCGAGTAAGCATGGTAATCACGATCTCGATCTGCAACAAAAAGTGAAAAAAAAAAAAAAAAAAAACTCACTTTATCAACTTTGACACATATGAACCACATATCCTCGGGAAAAAAAGAAAAGGAAAAAAAAAAAAACTGCTCACTCACATTCCATATAAGTAGAATTTGAGGTCATACCTCGAGAAGAATGATGCCTTGATTTATCCGAATGACCTCCTGAATTGACAAAGAAGACAAACAGAATCAAGAAAGAAATATCAGATCCCAGCTAACAAAATGAACAAATAGTTGCAATTGATGATCACAAGCAACTGTTAAAGAATCAAGCTAAGGAAAACACTGACCTAAATCCTTAGCTTTATCCCGGGATCGTTGACTTCTTTCTTTCACTATCTCCCGTTCAATATCATCTCGCTCTCTTTCCCTGTCAGAATCTCTCCCCCTCTCACGATCCCGGGACTTCTGTCTATCCCTGTTCCTGTCTCTTTCTCTATCCCTGTCCCTAACCTTCTCTTTCTCTCTATCCCTATCTCTATCCCTTTCTGACTCCCTGTTTCGTTCTCCACTAGTTTCTGTTCTGAGTTCAGGCTTTGACTTGACCATGATGTCCTCTCTTCCTTCACCATCATTTGCCGTGTCCTTGGACTCGTCATCGCTTCTCTTAGAATCTTTCATCTTGTCAAGTGCCTGTTTTACAAGTGCGTCTCTGGATCCCCCAGTATCAATACTAGCTGCAGCACCTGCAGCCGTCTTTGTCACACCAGTATCAGCACTAGCCACTGGTGTATTCAGGGAACCTTCCTGGAATAAAGCGGAAACTATCAGAAAAGGCATGGCAACTTAAACTAGGCAGAACTATAGTATAGTAATTAAAGCTAACAAAAATGAATGAGTGCTAGAGGCAGTCAAATAGACATTGCTGGACCTAATAGTAGGGCCAGTGTGCTAAAATGACAGACGGGTGATGCTTACTTTGGGCACTGCAGTATTCTGTGAATCCCAAGACTTGTTGGATGATGTGAAGGAAACTGACTCCTTACAGACAGGTATATACTTGGCCTTCGGACGACTATACAGATGAGCTAGAACTCTACAGACTTCATCAATACCAGCTTTATCTGCATCAAAGACCTTCCACCATGGTGGATTCTCAGGAAGGGGAACTCCAAACCTTCTCGCAGCAGCATACACAACTCCACAAGCAACCACCTCACTTTTAAATCGAACACATAGTGTAGTCCGCAAACTGAGATACACACAAATGCAGAGTTAAGCTATGATATATAAAGCAAAGAAGAACTCAGCTATCACAAAGAGTACCTAGTCAAACATATATACTTTTTAGTACACACATATTATTTAATTAATATAGTCCCAAAGACAAGTCTAAGCCCTCACAGTGGCCCTTAGTCACGAAAGAAAAAATAACAATAGAAATATCATAATAGGCTGCAGCCTGTGGAAGAAATATAGACAGACAAGGAGATAGTCTGGTCAATCTAGTGAACATAGTCTAGCTAGAATAGCTAGTGGCAGTAGGAGACTAGATGGAAATAGAACTAACTGCATATTGTGGCAGAAAGCAAGTAAAGTACAAATAGCAATCGCAATGGTGACTTTGTATTTGTTGAAATACGATGGCTTTAGCAAGTGGTAGTAATCAATTTAATCATTTCCATTGGTTAATATTTGATGAATTAAAATTTAAACATGCCAGCCTATTAAAGCTCCATTCATGCCAAAGAATTTAGCAATCACAAACAGTCCTCAACGGCTCATTACAACATTACCTCATGACTCAACTACAATACTACAAATTAGATAGAATATGCCAGCATTAAACATCCTGGATTCTTATGCATCATCTGACATGATCTGTCCATGAATTTATTTAAGATAACAATTTTAAATAATATCATTCAGTGCTGAACTGTAGGGAAAGGTCTTAAGGGGCTTAAAGGCTTCTCTGCTGTAAGGGATTAATAATAATATCAATTACATGGGGCAAATTTTCCAGTTATAAGTGCAAGAGTCATTTACACTCTACTCGCTTACATTTGTTTACCTTAGGCATGCTATGGACAGTTCTAGTGTTTGACAAGGCAAAAGGTGCAGTAAAAAGGGTCATAGAGCCTAGGCAAAATCCATAGGAGTTAAGAGGCAAGGCACTTCATCAAAGTAAGACACTACTCTTAAAATACTTCCTCTGTTCCACATAGATTGCAACATGGATGAAATTACGCATCCCAAAGCACATTTTATATGCTAAATATCTATAATTATATAAGAGTATAAATTATAAAAAGTTGATATTGTGAAAGTATTTTACAAGCAAATCTAACAAGACCTCACATGACTATATTTTACTTTACATATAAATCATAATATGTGGTCAAACAAGCGTGATGAATAGTGTAAAAGTCCAATTGTTGCGATATTACTAGAACAGAGGAAGTACATAATAAGTATTAACTGTGTAAAACAGATTGCAAACATGAATTAAAGCATCCAGTCTTTCTATTAGAGTCTTAGCTTTGCCTTGCCTAGGCTTTTGTAAGCGTTTGGGCAACAGCAACTAGGCACATTATAGGCATGCCTAATTAAAAGGACAGTCCTATAGATGTAATTGAGGTGAGTAATGTGGTTGAAATTATACAGCTTAAGTTTCACTAAGCACCATAAATTTCATTACAAATTCTTATTCCCATTCATCATTTCATTCCATGTTGCCAAAGAAAAACACTTAAGCAAGTTAAATAGTCAAGCCCAGTCCGGCATAGACAAAACTTCATACCCTGCAGTTTCCTCTATTCAACGAGTGTACGTTCAAGCCAAGGCCCATTTCCTTTATCTATATTATTTCCCTGTCCTTCAAACCAGTTGGCAGAAGCCGAGTTCCAGGTTAAGGGAAGATTCATTCTAAAGGTAGGAAGTGGTTAGTATTGGGCATTTGGGACAACCGTCCTCTTAATCCCTATATCAAGGGAAAAACTGTTAGCTATACCAGAGAATTGTTAGTTATACTAGAGTATAATTTATACCACAATTGGATAATGTGGCCAAAAAACCTTACCCTGAAATTGTAGATTAAAAATAAAAATAAAAAATAAAAGAGCTTAGAGTTGAACTCTAACGGACCCCTTCCGAAATCACTCAAGGATTGCCATTGATAGTTGTCACTATGATGAGTTCTGCAATTATAGTAGCAGGTTCTTTTGCCTCTAAGACTTCCTAGGAAGCAAAGTATAGTGGCGTACATAGGGTTGTGAGGCAACTAGCAATAACTTCCATCCCTCCAGTTAGACTATCTGCCTTTCCCAATCAGCTAACATTTCCTGCCCTACTTCCAAAAAATCTGCCAGGCACTTGGCCTTGATTTTAACATGAAACACCACAATAATCACTATTACTCATCTAGACAGACGACCAGATAACTGTCTTTAATCTCATTACAGAACATAGACGTACAAGGCAACAAATTATTTTCAGTCTCAAGACAGCTTGAGGGTGTTTCTATAGTGTGACAGCATAAAAAAAGTGATATTCCTAAACCCGTACTGGGTCATAGTGTCATACTATTTGACATATTAGAGTTTGTTAAGATTGATGTTTACGATTATTCACTAGTTCACAGAGAGGGATGTTGACATGTCGTAGCCCTTAGGATGGCTAAGTATGATATAATAGGATCATTCAGTTGGTTGGGCAAGAGGATGTTTTTTAGTGTGCTTGTGATCTAGCAAACAATAAAAAAATCCATTTGAAGAAAGAAAAACAACAAAAAAAAAGTCCCCCCCACCATATATATTTGTAGTTTCACACTCCCTCTAATTTGATGTGAAGACTGAAGAAAAGAGGCAACAGTACTCCGAGAGTAGGAAAATAAAATAATTATGAAAGACAGATAATTTAATCAAAGTTTGTATTTTCCAAATCTTAAATTTTACAGTGCATAGAGGAGTGAGCAGATTTTAGTCAAGATTATTGCATAATGGTGTATACAGCTATACAATTTTTGAGCTGCTGATATTTTTTAACTTCTCCTATTGGCTCTCTACTTCCCTTGTTGCCTTATAGTAGGGTAGAAACAATGAAAATATAAGATAATAATTGTTTTGAGCTTTTATATACTTGGGTGATTTTATTTGGTAAAAATACTATAATAGTTCTAATGACTGTTCATATGTTTCCATATACACCGGGTATTGTGTTTCTCCATTTCCTAGTCTCCATGTTTCCGTATACTGTTACTATTATCCTACACCCAGGTGTAATTTAATACCTTCTCACAATTTCTTTTCTGCATGGACATGTGCAAAGCAAGTGGGGAGGAGAATCTGGGTGTAGGATAGACAATTTGACACTCTGCAATATGTCCTGCATATCTGCAGCAATGCACACAACTATCTCAAAGTCCATGAAAATCGAGGATAAGCAAAAAAAACAATTAATTTTACAGCCCCCCTTCTCACTTCAGGCCAACAAGCATATGCAAACCATAAAATGGTCCTAGCAATGACCCTCTAAGCAAAAAACGATTAATTTTACACCATGTCAATTATGGACTAAGCATGAACTCACCTCATAATTGGATGCAAAATTATTGTGTACGAGTGTAAAGTAACAAAGCCAAAACAAGCCAGCCAAGGGTCATAGCTTGAAAATGTGTAAAGCATAATTGCAGAAGATGCTTAGCTGTGCTAACCTTTCATTTCTGATCACTGTTACAAAGAAACTACATATCTATGAGACTATATATGAGTCTATGAGGCTTCTAGAAAAGATTATAGGCAAACCTACAAGTAACTTAGGATATATAATAAGTATACAATTTCACACAATCAAGATAATTAAAAGTTAAACACATGCATATTGACTAAGTAACTATAGACGGAAACCCCAACAAAAACTCTACGGCACTTGATACGGACTAGGAATTCTCCTAATTGAATGGCATATCATTACAATGCCAAAACCAGCAAAGAGGCATAGCACTCTCCCAAATTGAATGAGTAAACAATAATTGCAAGAGATTAGGAGCTGCCAGAGACTCCTGACCTTTAATTTCTTCTGACTTTAAAAAATGAACTATGAATCAATGTATACCTATGACATGAATGGATGAAACTTCAAGAAGATTATGATTTTAGGATAGAATTCAAGTATTCAAGGCAATTAAGATAAACACAAATTCACGCACTCTAGTCAAAACATAAAGATCCAATAGGTGGCATCACAAGTCAACAAAAAAAAACATTATATTTACAGAGAACAGAAAGATATATGATATTAATTGATGTGAGAAATACCTATCATTTGCTAGATTCCAAGCATCTTGCCTTAACTCTGAAGGTTCTTTAAGTTCAAGGACAGCTAGGTAGTTTGATATGAATTTGTGCGGGTGCTCGACATGACAAATGAAACCCATTTCTTTCAGGAGGTGTCTTTCTGTTCTTATCAAATCCATCTTCAGCTCCGAATATTTCTGTTACAAAAAGGGGATGAAAAAAAATGGTGAGTACAAAGTTTCAAACTTAAAAAGACAAAGACACTAATTTTCCTTTTAAGGGATAGATATACAAGTTAACTGGATAGACAAACATACAGCAATATCCTTAGTAACTAATATGTCAAATTGATAAGCAACAAGAAATGAGAGAAATACACGACTTGATACATACTTTAGAATAAAGATCCAAATGTTCGACAGGTAAATTTTCCCTTCGACATTCCATTCGATGGAAGACAATGAGGACTTGTCTGGCTTTCCTTGGACTCTCCTCAAGTTTTGATGCCAGCCAAACACAACTGGCAGCTACTCTCTGAAAATCAGTAAAATTAAGAAGATTCAGCAGCAGAATCAGTCCAGAAAGAACAGCAAGGGAATAAAAGAATTTCACGTTCAATCAAAATAAAGCAACAGAAGCAGAATATTAACCTTAACATTAAATCGGGCAAATGACTTTTTGCAGTAAAATCGATGGAACAGAACCTGGCCAGTTGCCATAACGGCTTGAGGTCTAAGATTTCACAATTAAGGACAACATAATCCATACTTTATTATCAAGGGCATAAGGCTATGGAGCACAAACACTTCATATTGCCTCAAGCTACCAAGGGTATTAGTACTTCAACACTTCATATTGGACCAAAATCATGGAATATATACAAACAAACAAAAAAAATTACGAGTCCAATACTAGGACACTTACCCATGTCCAACCCGAGTATGAGTAACATTAAAATACATGACAGCAGAAATGAACTTGCACAAGATAGAAACAACGTGAAGGATACAATCTAAGAAGGATGCCGCTCTCTTGAATCAAATCACAGCCATAAATCCGGAGAGTATTTTCGGTTTCCTCATCAATGGCATCTTTCCTTGAAGGGGAATTAGTTAGCTGCTCTTCCGTCAAGTAAAATGTGTCGATTGCCGTGTAAATCATCTTCCACCAATGCCCAACAAAGCTGTAACAAAGGTAAATGTTGATTATATTCAACTCATATACACAGCCTATTGTGACAAGCCAGCCTATATGACATCTTGTAGTAGTAAAAATAAACTAACCAGTACATTCAACACATGCTGCAAACAGGCCCCCATCCCTGAGCCGGGGCAATAGGGATGGGCGACGGCAGTCGGCAGCCAGCCAGCAATGGGCGCAAGGAGAAATGACTAATGTTCATTGTTTGCCATCCTAACAGAAAATATATATATATATATATATATATATATATATATATATATATATATATATATATATATATATATATATAGAATTCTGCAGAATTAAGCTGAATGATAGAAGTGGTTCAATGATATTGAGGCCTTGATAATCATCAAACTTCTTAAGAATTAAGAGGGTGTCCAATATTCGGGGTGCTAAACCTTCGAGCCAAGCCCGAATAGGGGTAGGCTCAGCTCAAGCTCAAATCTTGATGAGCCTCAAAACCCAAGCTCGACTCAGGCTGGCTCTAATTGCCTCAAAAGCTCGGTTCGTGGACTCAATTAGGCTCAATATATGCAACACATTGGCAACCAAATTTGACTCAAATATCAAATTAGGGTAGAAAAATCACATAATTTTTTTCTCGATTAAGAATATGTAAACAAATTGCACATAACAAGATTTCAGCAACAAATCCTGTCGTTATTATCGTTCATAACTTCGGTAATGATAAGCAATTGTTCAATTATCTACCTTATAAAAACCCTAAATTAACTATGCTGACAATAAAGTTAACGTTAATTTGAAACTAAACCCTAGATTGTGAAATTGAGATTCGATGATCAAAAAATATATATTATATATATAACTTACCTCAGAAGCTGCTTTAATACAGAAGAGAAAGATACAAGCCGCTTCAATGGAGAACTCAGAGTAAGTTTCAAGCTTAGAAACCACTTCAATGGAGATTTCTATGTACGCTTCAGTGAAGGAGAGAGAAGGGGTGCAGCGTGAAAAACTTCAAAGAGGGAAAAATAGTTTTGGAAGCATACGATTATACGAAGTACTCCCTTACAACAAAATACAAAGTACTTCGTACACGTTAGGCCCGATTCACTTCACCTTATTTTTGCTGAATTGAAATTATTATTACTGAACTGAAATTAATTTTACTAAACTGAAATTATTTTTGCTGAACTGAAATTATTTATACTGATTCTCTTGCATATTTCTTCTTTAAAGTTACTGATTTTTACTGAACTGAAATTATTTTTTCTAAACTGAGCTTATTTTTGCTGAATTGAAATTATTTTCACTGAACTAAAATTATTTTTTATTGAATATTATTATTTTAAGGTGAAGTGAACAGGGCCTTAATGAGTTACTCCGTATTGTCTTTCAAGGGGCATAATCGTAATATTCCTTACGGAGTACTCGTAGTAAAATGGTTATTTTTACCGCAAAAATCTTACTGCTCCGTCGTTACGCAACTATACAAGGAATAATCAAATAATGCACCTTATCGTGAGTATTCCTCATATAGTTAGTGTAATATGATTTGGGCCTTGTTTGGTTGTTTGGCTATTGGCTGTTTCTTTTGGCTTGTCTGACCAGCTGTTTATATTGGCTATTTATTTTGACTATTTGACTGCTGGCTATTAATAAATATGCTTGGTAAAGGTGGTTGTTGGTTGTTGGTTGTTTTATATAAAAATGACTTTTAAAGGCATTAATATATTTTATTATCCTTGTAATACACATTGCAAATAATGATGATGATGATGATGATAATAATAATAATAATAATAATAATAATAATAATAATAATAATAATAATATTATTATTAAAAAAAATAATAATAATATTAAAAAAATAATAATAATAATAATATTAAAAAAATAATAATAGTAATAATAATTGGATTGGGTAGGTTCCACGTCAATTTTCCGGCGAATTGGACTGCTTCTCCGGCGCGATCAGGGCCTCGGTGGCTGTACGTTCAGGGCCTAGGTTTCGAGTGCAGTTTCTGGGCGAATTTCAAGTGGTTTTTGGGCGAAATTCAGGTGTTTTCTGGGCCAACTTCAGGGTGTTTCGGGATTGTTTGGTGCAGTCTTAAAGGGCGGTTTTCAGGCTGGTTTCTGGCCGTCATTCAGGCGGTTTTCAGGCGTCGTTCTTGGGCTGTTTTAAGGCAATTTTGGGTTGTTTAGGGCGAGTTTCAGACCTGTTTTTACTGGGCGATTTTCAGACCTGTTTCGGGTTGTTTTCAGCGCAAGGTTCAAGCGGTTTTCTCTTTGTTTTTCAGGCTATTTCCTGCTCGGCTTTGGGTGCAGTTTGGTGGTGGTTTGGGTGTGATTTTCGTGCAGTTCGTGGTGCAGTTTTGGTGTGGTTTCGTGAGCAGTTTCTGGTGCAATTTTGGTGTATATAAGGTGCAGTTCATGGTGCTTTTTGGTGGTGGTTGTGGTGCAGTTCGTGGTACAGTTTTGGTGTGGTTTCGTGAGCAGTTTCTGGTGCAATTTTGGTGTATATAAGGTGTAGTTTTGGGTGCTTTTTGGGTGCAGTTTTAGTGTGTAGTTGATGTGCTATTTTTGTGTGTCGTTTTGTGTTCTTTTCGTGGCAAGTTGTGGTGGGTGTTATGCCTCCTATTGTTCGTTTTCATTGTCCATTTGCGGGTCTAAATGGGTTTCAGGATGGTGGGGGTAATGGGCTCACTAAAGCTTATTTACTCACTCATCTCCGTGATCGTCATTGTTGTGGGGATGCACGAGATTTAACTCGACACTCTCTTTCTTCTGATTTGGCCATTTTCTTAAAGGCGGAGTCAACATTTCGTCGTATGGGCATTTGGTTTTGTGGGGAGTGTTTCAAGACGCATACTTTTCGTACGAAGTGTCGACATGGTCCTGGTTCTGATGATATTGTGGCCCCACCTGATTCTGGGGATGGTATTGTTCGGTTCATCCTTTATGGTTTTTCTAAACCGCAGGGTCCATCTTCGGGAGTATCTGATCTTGTTCCTAATGTTCCTTGTGAGCCTCTTTTTTCATTCGATGTTGCTCTCTTGGATAGTTTGCTATCTAAGTGGTTTCGTTCGGTGAAATCTATTCCTCCTAAGTGTCGCTTGGGTTTTTCTCGGGTTCTAAAAGGTGCGCTTGATAAGGTGATATGCAAGCCTGATGACGTCTCTTGTTGGGTTCAACTGCTTGTGTTGCCTCTCTGTGTTCTAAAAACCTTTTCTCCAAGGAGTAGTCGTGAGTGTTCTTCGGGTGTCAGGCGGCAGCGGCAGGAAGAGAGTATCTCCGCTGCTATTCGATCTTGGTGTGAGCCTGGTGGTCCTGTGCATCTTGTGCGGGATACGTTGGCTGATGTGTCTCCACCTCTGTTGGATGCTGATGATGTGCATGATTTGTCTGAGCGTAATATTACGCAATGTAAGAGAAAGATTAGTGACGGACATTACACTGTTGCGGTTCGGGTGCTTTCGTCTTCTGGTCTTGCCCCTTACAATGATGCTACTCTTGCTGATTTGCAAGCTAAGAACCCTTCTTTTCCGGCTCCTATCTTACCGGATATCCCCGTTGATCAGCCCCTTATTGCTAATCCTGCTGTTGTTTTAGATCAGATTAGGGGTTTTCCGCGTGGTACGTCATGCGGTAGAGACGGCTTGCGTGCTCAACACCTTATGGATTGCTTGGGTGGTGCTGCAGTTGCTATTTCGGATGAGTTGGTAGACTCTATTACGCAGGTGGTTAATCTCTTTCTCGCTGGGAAATGTCCTGCTGTGTTGGGAGAATACATCGCCAGTGCTCCTCTCACGCCACTTGTTAAGCCTGGTGGTGGTATTCGACCTATTGATGTGGGTATTGTTTGGAGGCGTCTGGTTTCAAAGGTTGGGGCTGCTTTAATTGGTCCGCGTCTGGGAAACTATTTAGGAGGTCTTCAGTTTGGTGTTGGTGTGCCGGCGGGTGGTGAGGCTATTCTTCATGCTGTTAATCGTTTGGTTGAGGCTTGTGGTGGTGATGTTGGCCTCTCTATGTTGCTAGTGGATTTCCGGAATGCCTTTAATTTGGTTGATCGTACGGCTTTACTGCGTGAGGTCCGTCTCCGTTGTCCAGCTCTCTCGCGTTGGGTTGAATTATGTTACTCTACTCCAGCCAGGTTGTTTTATGGGGAGCATACCTTAAGGTCATGTCAAGGTGTGCAGCAGGGTGATCCTCTTGGCCCTTTGCTTTTTGCTTTGGTGCTCCATCCGTTGGTTTGTCGAATCAGGGATTCTTTCGAATTATGTTTGCAGGCTTGGTATTTGGATGATGGCACTATTATTGGCGACACCTTGGTGGTAGGGAAGGTCGTGGAGTTAATTTTGGTGGAGGGACCTAGTCTCGGCCTCCATGTTAACGTTGAGAAAACGGAAGTTTTCTGGCCCACGGAGGACCCACGTAGCCGTTTGGCCGGTGTCTTTCCTCCTGACATTGCTCGTCCTGTTCATGGTGTTAAGTTGCTTGGTGGTCCTGTCAGTGCGAATGCCTCTTTCTGTGGTAAGCTTGTTTCGCAGAGAGTTTCGAAGACCATTGAGCTCATGGATGTTGTTGTTAAGCTTGAGGATCCCCAATGTGAGCTGTTACTACTTCGTGCGTATACTGGGGTTTCAAAACTCTACTTTTCTATGCGTACGTGTCCTCCTCGTCTTTTTGAAGCGGCCCAGGTTTCTTTTGATGTGGCCCTTCGAGGTTCTTTGGAGCGCATTGTAACTGCTTCGGGGCCAGGTTTTGGTGATTGGCAATGGCGACTTGCCACCTTACCTTTTTCTTATGGTGGATTGGGTGTCTATTCAGCGGGCGATGTTCATCACTATGCTTTCCTTGCGTCGCGTTTGCAGTCTTCTGGTCTTCAGACTTCGCTTCTTCGCAATTCTGGTATTGATGGTCCAGGTCCGGCCTTCGATGGCGCTCTTAGTCTTTTTAATAGGACTGTGGATACTGACCTTTTGCGTAACCCTAGTGAGATCGCTGCCCCTAACCTCATGAAAAAATTGGCAGATATATATTTCGCGAAGGTCACTGCATCTGTAGAATCCACTTTCTCCTTATCTCCGCGTCAGGTCGCCTTATGGAAGTCCCAGCAGGGGGATCACACATCTGCCTGGTTGCGAGCGGTCCCGATATCAGGTTTGGATCAGACTATGAATGGTAAGACTTACCGTTGTGTTCTTTGCTACCGGTTGGGTGTTCCCTTGTTCTCCGTTTCGACTCCGTATTCTGCTTGCTCTAGGGTTTTTGATGGGGATATTTATGGGGATCATGCGGTGTCTTGTGCTAGGATGGTAGGTATTAAACATCGGCACAACGTTGTTCGTGATACCCTTGTTGATATTTGTTTCCGCTCTGGGATTTCTGCAAGGAAGGAGGTTAACGTTGGGTTGACTGGAGGGAATGACGGGGCCCTTCGACCGGCAGATGTGTTGCTTTATTCCTAGGAAAGAGGTCTTGATGTATGTGTTGACTTGACGGGGTCTTCTCCTTTGACTCAATCTGGGTTGTCTGACTTTGTTCCTGGTCGTGTTGTGTCAGTTGCGGCTCAGCGGAAGCGGGACAAGTATGGGGCGTGTTGCAGGGCAATTGGCTATGGTTTTCTTCCTTTCTCCTTTTCTTCATTGGGGGAATTAGAGAAGGATGTTGTTGCGTTGCTGAAGCGGATTCAGGCGTTTGCTAGGACTCAGGATATTGGTGTTCGTGCAGCTGCTCATATCTTTAACAGGATCGGGTTCGCTATAGCTAGAGGGGTGGGGGCCCAGATTGTATCTCGGCTCCCCACTAATTTCTTGTAAATCAATTGAATTTGTAGGTTTTTGTTATATTATTATTAATAATAATAATAATAATAATAATAATAATAAAAATAATAATAATAATAATAATAATAATAATAATAATTACTGCTTATTAATAAATAAAATTATTATTGATTTACTAATTTTTAATTTACTAATATATTAATTATTACTAATTAAAAATTACTAGTTATTAATTATTAATGATTATTTTTTAATACTTGA